TTTTTTGAGTTGGAGTCTCACTCTGTCGCCCAGACTGGAGTGCAGTGGCCGCTTCTGGCCATGGCAGCCTCGACCTGCTGGGCTCCGGCGATCCTCCCGCCTCAGGCTTCCAAGTAGCCAGAATTACAGGCATGCGCTACCATGCCCAGCTAAGTTTTTTTTGATTTATTGTAGAGATGAGGCCTCGCTGCCCAGGCGGGTCTCGAACCCGCGGGCTCAGGCAATCCACTCACCTCAGCCTCCCAAAGGCGCAGGATTACAGGCTGAGCCACCGAGCCCGGCTTGGACAGTTCTTAAACTGCCGCTCATTGATTCATTGTGTTACCCCGTCTGAGATTTAATCTGTCTGAGCTTTTATTTTCATATCTATAAAAGGTGGAAAACATATCTATTAGATACAAACATAGTAATAATTAAAAATTAATATGTGGGGCCGAGCACGGTGGCTCACATCTGTAATCCTAGCATTTTGGGAGGCCGAGGCTAGAGGACTGCCTGAGCCCAGGGATTCGAGACCAGTCTGGGCAACCTGGCAAGACCTTACCTCTACAATAAGTCAAAAAAATTAGCCAGGTGTGATGGCGCACGAATATGGTTCCAGATAACTGGAAGGTTGAGACAGAAGGATCACATGAGCTCAGCAGGTTGAGGCTGCAGTGGCCGTGGGAGTGCCACTGCACTCAGCCTGGGAGACAGAGTGAGACTCTGACTCAAAAATAATAATCTGTGGAAAACTTACAAAAGCAAGGTCTAGCACACAGGAAGCTCAAAATAAATGGTAAAAATGAATGAAGTCAGAAGATATGTATATAGTGACCAGGTAATTATAATGTCCTATGACACTTATTTGTAAAAATTAACTAACTTTTCTTTAGAAATGGGGTCTTGCGGCCGGGCTCAGTGGTTCAGGCTGTAATCCTGTGCTTTGGGAGGCTGAGGTGAGTGGAATGCCTGAGCCCGCGGGTTCAAGACCCGCCTGGGCAGCTTGGTGAGCCCTCATCTCTACAACAAATCAAAAAAATTAGCCAGGCATGGTAGCACACGCCTATAGTTCCAGCTACTTGGAAGGGCTGAGGCGGAAGGATTGCCGAAGCCCAGGAGGTCGAGGCTGCGGTGGCCGGGAGCAGCCACTGCA